CGGTGAAATCATTACATATCATTAATGAGCCCCATATAATGAGATTTGCAACTTTAAGTCAATAATGCGTAATGCATGCTATAATTGCAATAAAAGAGACGCACGAATAGAATAAACACTGAATGGATGAAAGCTTTTGTGTTTTGAGTGAATATATATTTTAAATAATGTCCTTGTGAATAATGAAGTGATGAATAGTGCCATTTATGGCACGAAGATCAGCGTGATGAAATAGTGCTGTCGCTTATTAAAAACTCTTATGAGGCTTTTTAACATATTTTTAGTAGATGATGTAAACTGCAAAAAAAATAAACAAAACACGTTCGATGTGGTAAATATGAGTAAAGCAGCATAAAATGCACAAGCTTGAACAAAAAGTGAAAGTTTAGTCTATATGCAGTTAGTTTATGAGATCCATGGAGCTGCAATGTGTGGAATTTCAATAAATACCAGGAATATTTGTTAGTGACTTATCTAGAACATTTTGTTAACGAGTGCAAATGCAAAGGTGTTTTCTCTTACATATGCTCATCTGTGTGTTTGAATGCGGTTGAATAAAAAAATGCATTCCTAGACGGGGAAAAAAGCATAAATGTTATAGTGGGATTGTGCGATCAATGCATGATTTGAAATTCTGAATGGACAGTTCTGTTCAAACGTTAACACGTGCTCCCTCTTGTGGAACAGGACCGTGTAGCCCTTACAATGAGGACTATATTCTGACATAAATGTAGCACATTTTGTTCAAATCACATCTTTATCATTATAATATTGGTGTAAAATAAAGACGAGCATCCAGAGCCAAGATTTCCCCTAAAAATAACTCACCGTGGCCTTTCCCTGTAAGAAAGTTTCATTAACACATTTTGCATAATGACTAACTGTAGTTCTTTAAAAAAAAAACATTTGGTAAACCTTGTTCAGATGATTACAAAAAGTCTGTGGATTTATGTTGGTGTTTAGAAAAGGCCGCTTGACATGTGTATCTGAAAGGCTCTGGATTCTGGCTTCCAGATATCAGTATAATAATGTCTTGAAATGAAACTGTTTAAGAGGTTAACTGCTCCGCTGGCTTGTGGACTGCGAGCAATTACCAGTGAGCACATCTGTCATTCTCCTCTTCGCCATTAAAACCAAACGCAAGTCTATTTTTAAGTAGAAATGTATTTGCACTTTGTAAGCCACCTACGGGGAATATAAAAGGTGCTTATTAAAAGTTTCTGTTTTATTGCTTTTTATTTATTGCTTCAGGGGGGGAAATAACTGCGTCGGTTTTATAAGAAAGGAATAATATATCTTGTTTTGATGTGGCTCACTGTTAAATTTGAAATTTAAATCAGTTCTGATATACAAGCCTGATGCACCAACACTTATTACTTTTGTTCAAATCTAAATACGCGGACATTTTGAGGGTGCAAAGACTGTTGGATTATTGAGAACAGAACAGTGGGAGATTTTTACGAACCACTGTAGGCAGCAGAGCAAGCTGTGAGGTTTTGTAAAAAACTAAATAAAAAAAAAACAAAAAAAAAACTGTTTAGTCTAACATCTGAGACGAAAAAATGGCAAAAATGAACATTAAACTAAGCTCAAAATGTATCTGAATAAAGAGGTGATACAGTGTCCATCTAATGAGTGCATTGGTGTGTTTGGATTGACGTTGTGTATGCAGTGGCCTAGATACACATAAATGTTTGACTAAGCTTGGCAATAATATAATTCCAGGAATATCGGCGAGAGCTGCTGAACTCTGATATATTGATCCACTCTGGAGTGTAAAGGCCTTGAAACAGAAGCTTGTTGAGATTGCCACCAGGTGGCTGGAGTGATTTAGCATGAGATTTTGCATCACATTATTCCTCACGACCCAAAACTAGAAACTAGAAAGGTTTTAATGACGACCTATTATGCCCTTTTCAAAGACTTGCTTTTGTTTTTGGGCTCTACTAGAATAGGTTTTCGTTCTTGAATTGAATGTTCAAAATACACATTACATTTCATATTTGACATTGTTGCAGAATGTCAAATAGCCTAGAAGCTCTCTTCCCAGGCAGCGTTCGTTTAGTAAAAAAAAAAAGTATTTATTGCTAACTTCCTTCTGTCTCTAGGCTGCGTCCGATATCGCATAGCCTACTTCCCTACTATATAGTAGGCAAAAAACAGTATGTGAAAAAATAAAGAAGTATGTCCGAATTCACACTAGGCCTACTCATAGGCAGAAAGTATACCCGGACTGCCTAATTCTTCCGGCGAGATTCTGAAGTGTGCATACGATGGACACTTTACTATCCCATGAGGCCACAGGAGAGGATTTATGAATGGCATGAAGCAACACAACTAACGATGATAGGTCACATGATAATGACAACATGGCGGATGTAGGGTAGGCTAGTACGTCCAGATTACATTTATACTACACACTCATACTATATAGAACATACTTTTATAACGGTCGTAAAGTAATTACTTATTCAAAGTACCTACTCCAGAGTTTGCGATTTCCAGCCCTTTCCTCAGAGTTACGTCATTGAGTGTCCACTACTGGTGGAACCCTTGAAATGTGTTTAAATGAAATAAGCCTTTGATGAATCCGCAATGGAGCTGATTTATTAGTTACAGTTTTTTTCCTTATGAATTTGTTTTGCGCATCATTCTAAAAATTAAATATAAACAAATATTATGAATATATTAATATGTTATATTAAATATGCTTAAATATTAAAAAAACAAAAGAAAATGCTAACAAAATAAACTATAACTGTGTTAAAAAAAAAACAGTAAACTTAAGGTAGTGACAATTTCTGCTGTGACGTTACAATCATGTTGCATTGTGGTCTATAAATCTGCCTGAAGTGTACGTTGAGTAGACTTGCTCCCTCCCCCGAGGCGAAGTGCTTAGGGGAGTTTGCGAGTCTAAAAGTGGAGTTAAACGCTGCCCCAGTCTGTCAGTAACGCTCTGTTTAGTTCCAGTCTCTATGAAGCCCCTCCTTCTGAAAAGCATAATGTGCTCTGATTGGTCAGCTGGATCAGTGTGTTATATTAGTCAACCGCTTCCAGTGAGTTTGGGCAAATGTCACACACCTTACCATAACCACGTGTTTCAACACAATGTTAAACTTGAACCGTGTTCTGTTCTGGTCACTGCGGACCGATCAGTGTATGACATCAAAGTACCGCAAGAGCGATTTGAGAGATGGTTCTGCATGCTTTCAAATCTCTCTCATGGTACTTTGATGTCATAAACCAATCTGTCTGCACAGTGCCGCTTCGAGTCGAAGGGTGCATCTTAATCAGCTCCCTAGAGTTCAGTAGTCAGGGCACTGATCAGGGAGTCGGCCATTTTAAGGATGAAGTCCTTCCGGGGCACCGAAATGTTCACTCCCTAAAAGGTCCCACAATGCACCATGAAATCCAAGGAGTGTCAATCCTCACCATGTTCCCTAACGTTAGCCAAATCCTAATGAAATGCAATAGATGTTTTTTTAAAATACAAACCATTATTTAATTATATAAACACATCACTAGACAGGTAATGAACATTTTCTAGCTAACATTTATAGTTTATGTACGGCTGAATTGTTGCACGTATGTTTCACAAGCGAAGTATTTATCATAATGTACTTTAAATAACATTAACAAACTATGACAGAAAGACAGTTCTGATGTTGTGCAATGAGGACGTTGTCATGTCTCTAGAAATAGAGTCGTCAGTGTCCCAATGTGAAGTGAGCTAGGGTCCTTAGTGCCCTTACCAGTGCCTGAACTCCTGTACACGATATACTGATTCACGACCTAGGGAGCTGATTGAGACGCACCCGAAAACATCCACTACTAACTAACTCAACCAGGCCCCGCCCCTTTATTCAGCGCATGCCTTGGGCGGGAATCATTCAAATGATGAATATTGTGACGTGTTCATTTCCGGAAGAAAACTCAAGACTACACTGGAGGAGTTTCAGGGAGTTCAGAAACAGTGACACTGATATAGAAATATAAACGTTGTGCTTTACAGACCCTTTTCATGCTCAGACAGCAACATTACACTCTAAAGAAAGTTGAAAATATTTTTTAAAAGCATTTTAGGTCCTTTTTTAAAGCCATTCCATGTAATTGTAAATGACCACATGATCATCTTTGGAAGGGTAAACAGTTTTTCTGGAGTCAAAAAGGTGTAGTAATCTACTGTTCGTGACATGGTCCTGGATCAACATATTTTGTTGATCCTGGATCAACATTCCTGTCCCAAAATGTAGTCCTTACCCAATCCCTACCCCTAAACCTAACCCTACCCATAACTTTTCCCTAAAATCAGAGGGTAATGAAAGGTGAATAACACTGATGTTTAAGTACTTCACCCTGGTTCTAAGCCTAAACTTGACATAAACTGTAAACTTGTCCCTCAAATCTGATTGGTTGATTGGAAAGTTGATCCAGGATCAACAAAGATGTTGATCCAGGAACATGTGGTACTTGGTGAAATCACGTTCACCGTTAGGGTCCACTGCAGGGTTTCAGTGTGAGAAGTCAAGCAGAGGTCACCTTTCTCCCTCCTGACAACATCAACCAGACCAAACCTTCCTTTCTGCATGTTTTATTATTCGTGTTACACGGCTTCAATGTTAGCAGAACATGTTAATAGTGGATGTGATTCTCTACACCTGTGAATCCTCTGACTTCATGCATCCACTAAAATCACCTAAAGACATCAAGGCTTCACTTTTCTTCATCATTTGTTTAAGTTAGTGACACTTGCACATCTAAATATCCAAAAGTTGAGCTAAATAGTATGAAATGAACCTACAAAGAGTGAGAAACAGTCTTACAGAGAAATGCCGCTGTCAATCACACATTCTGCTTTAGGAAAGTTCTAGCTGTTTTCCAACAACTGTCATCCGTCTGTGTCGAAGCCCATTGGCTCCTGGATTAAATCCCTTAAATCAGAATTCTTATAATAACTTCTGAAGTCTATTGGCTTCCTGGTTAAGCACCATGGAGGATGTATTTATAGACAGTCAGAGGTGGAGAATGGGCTTATATAAAATCAGCATTTCCACCCTGTCTGAAATCACTTGTGCTTTGTTTCCTGAACTCAAGGGTTACGATTATGGTGAGTTTGCTTTGCCATGCATTTATTCATTCATTTATTCTGTCGTAGATTTTCAGCAGACATGTGACTCACTGTTGTCTTGATGCGTCCAAACGAAGATCTAATTTCTGTCTGTCTAAAGTTCTTTCTTTCAGAAGTTTAAGTCTGACTCATCCGTAAATTCACTTTCAACAAATAAATGAATGAAACGTAAACTGTTTCTGTTCTCAAAGATAGATACAAACATTTGCATTTCTCAAATCGAAAACAGGAGACAGATCTATTTATCGCTAAAAAATGTAAGCATTTCATTTGCTTTAGATCACAAATAAGATCTCTTTAATGTTTCAGTTGTTTCTACATGAGATTAAAATGTGAGCAAATGGAAACTTCCACTCAATGTTTTTCTCCTAAAAGACCCAAATATCTTGTTCTGAAATAAAGTTTCAGAACAAATCTCAACAATGGCTCCAACTGTGATCAGATTTTGCAAAAATGTTTTATATATATATGAAACATCACGTAGTTTCATGTAGTTTTACTTGTAGTATATTTTCAAAGTTTCTTTGCGATAATCAGCATATAAATCAATCCAGAGCAAAATATTACTACTAAGATAAATATGACTAAATATTACTATAATAGGGTTCGGTTAAGTAGAATAAGTTGGCATAGTTGTAAAAAATTATTGTTATTATGTCTAAAGTGGAATATCGAAATAAAGTGTAAACATATACGTTCAAAACCATTACTATTATTAATGTTTTAACGTCTCTTATGCTCATCAAGCCTGCATTTATTTGATGAAAAATACAGAAAAAACAGTAATATTGTGAAACATTATTACAATTTAAAATAATGATTTTCTATCTGAGTGTACTTTAAAACATAATTTATTTCTGTGATGCAAAGCTGCATTTTCAGCATTCCAAAAAAAAAATATTAAGCATGAGCACAACTGTTTCCAACATTTATAATAACTGAGCATCAAATCATCATATTAGAATGATTTCTGAAGCATCATGTGACACTGAAGACTGGAGTAATGATGCTGAAAATTCAGCTTTGATCACAGGAGTAAATTACAGTTTAAAGTATATTAAAATAGAAAACCATTCATTAAAATTGTAATAATTTATCAATATAAATTGTGTTTATTCCTCTTAAGGAATTTTTGAGACAATTGGATACATAAATACTGTTGAGATGTAATCCAGACAGAAGGCCGACGAGCAGCTGTCGGGCTGCGATGTCATCCGGCAGAAATGCATCTCACAATGTTTCCCAAATTCTGTGGCAGGAATGTAAATAGTTGCGATTAATCCCTGTCTTGGTGGGATTACCTATCAACAGGCTCAAAGATGAGGCTGTCAACAGTCAGCGCCAGTGTGTAATCCCACATCTGATCCACTGGCTGACTTCTCTCTCTCTCTCTGAGCTAATTATACATCCAGCAGCGCACCAAACCTTGCCATTCTCAAACTCACACATCACGACTCAGATTCAGCTCAGGAGAACCTTCAGTTTAACATCAACTCGCCTAACTCCTGAAGAGAAATGAAATAGACACAAATCAGACATGCATTGACTGCTATAAAATAAATGTGAACATCCGCTCAGTTCATTTGAGTTAGTAGCATACATTGAGACGATGTTGAGAGGAGAAACATCAGAGAAGTGGGAGACTTCAGCAAAAGTCTCGATGTAAACAGATTGCTGTCTGTGATACTAAAGTCAACATGAGACTGCGTTTGCAAGCCATTTTACTGGCATGATGAGACATACCGTTTAAAAGTTTGGGGTCTGTTTTTAGTCTCTTCTGGTCACCAAGGCTGCATTTATTTGTTCAAAAACATAGTAAAAATAATATTGTGAAATATTATTACAATTTTATATAACTGTTTAAATGTGAATATATTTTAAAATGTAATTTTTGATGTAAAATTTCAGCATCATTACTCCAGTCTTCAGTGTCACATGATCCTTCAGAAATCACTCTAATATGCAGATTTGCTGCTCTTATTATAATCGATGTTCAAAACAGTTAATATTGCTGCTTAATATTTTTTATAGAAACCTTGATTTCTTTCAGGATTCTTAGAAAAGAAATTCAAAAGAACCGTGTTTATTTGAAAGAAATCTTTCGTAACGTATCGCCTTTATCAGTTTTGATCAATTTAATGCATCCTTTCTGAATTAAAGTATTCATTTCTTTCCAAAATAAGAAAAGAATTGGGTCACACTTTAGATCAGGGTCTAATTTTCACTATTAACAAACTATTAACTTTGACTTTTGCCCCAATAAACTCCTAAATACTGCTTATTAATAGTTAGTAAGGTAGTAGGTTTAAGTATTGCAGGATGTAGAACATGGTCATGCAGAATAAAGCATTAATATGTGCTTTATAAGTACTAATAAACAGCCAATATACTAGTAATATGCATGCTAATAAGCAAGTTATTAGTGAGAATTAGACCCTAAAGTGTTACCAAAAATTGTAAGTACCCCAAACTTTTGAATGGTATAGAGTTTCAGTGAAAACAGGAAAAGGGATGTCAGCCAAGAAGTAAAGTCAAAAGGGGTTTTTGAAGCAAAGTTATTTCTCTTATTTCCAGTGTGTAGTTCTATTTAACCAGTTGCAAGTATTCTGTGTAATGTGTTGTTGCAGGCACCCAAAAAGGCAAAGAAGCGGGCAGAAGGAGCCAATTCAAATGTCTTCTCCATGTTTGAACAAGCACAGATCCAGGAGTTCAAAGAGGTGCAAACCAAGTGCTCGTTTGACTCTTATTGTCGTTATCCCGACTCTTTCACTGTGATATTGAGCGGCGAGATTCCCGTATGTGACTTCAATATGTCAGTGTTCATCATCGCTAGTGAATAATTCAGAATGTGTCAGTAACGATTAGCACAGTGGAGTGATTTACACCCTGAACACACACACTCCAACCTGCTGTCAAGCCCACGAAATTTGCGTGGAAAATGCAGCAGGACAGACGTTGTCTCCGGGTCTCAAAGCGGCTGTGAAAAGATCAGGACAAACAGGATAAGCGTGACGCTGATCCGAGATGGCAGTGATGAAAACGTGCAGACAATTGCGACCAGTCTCTCTCTCTCTCTTTCAGTCTGTCTCTCTCGCACATATCACAAACAGAGGCAAAGTAAAGTGGAATTACAGGACCTATAAATATACAAACACAGGGAGTTTCGCGAAACAAGATACATTACAAAAAATAAAGCACCGTGACAAGGGGTTTGGGGGGATCTGACCTCTAATTAAAGAATTAGTTCACCAAAAATGAATTAAATGTCATTATTTTCTCCCCCTCACGTCATTCCAAACTTGAAAGTTATTTTTTCTGTGGAACACAAAAATGGCGGATTTAAGAACCTTTCACGCTCTACAAAAACCCCCCATAAAATTATCCTTGAAATATCATAATCCACATGATAGATTTGCGTGAGAAACAGGTGTTTTTAATCTTTCTCCTTCACCAAAGCTCTAAAAAACTAGTTCAGATTCAGAACTTTGTTGAGTTGCAATTCAACGTTTCTTTTGCATTAGACAAAAAAAAATGCTTTCAATTTTTAGGTGGAGTTACAGTAAAAAAATTGTCAAAACAAG